GGGGAGGGGAGGGAATGCTGTTAGATTGATAGAGATAAGTATTGATTTGGTTGAAGAGAAGGGCAATGTACCAAATGTGAGTGACCAATATGGCATCATTGAGGATGAGAAAGACATAGAGAGGTACATGGGAGGTACAGACAACAAATATGAACCCTTTTGTACATATAGTACGGCGTGGTCAGTGAAGGCAAACACGGGTATATGGGTGGATAAATTGGTAGACAGGCTGAAATATTAGGTATGTATATGAAGTGGAGAGTACACCCAAGAACATGCATAGGGTTGGCAGAAAGTGGTCCAATAACTTTATGTGTATGATCTGAATGTTTAGGTGTATAATGGGGCTGACAAGGGGCAAGGTTGTAATCACTGCTTGGTCACAGCCAGCTACCCAGAAGGACCGAGTAATTGAATCTGTGGGCTCAGGACCATAGTCACAGAGGACATCAAGCTCAATTGGCATAACATACTACACAAAACATTGTTCCATCTCCTACTTTGGCAAGTAGCGACTGAGATCTTAAAAGCTTGCAAGCTGCCATCTAGATGCAATCATGGGTCTCTCCTCATCCAAGCCAAGAAGAGTAAAGAAAACCAAAGATTTATGAAAACAATTAGTCCACACGACTGTACACCATGCGATCCACAGCCTATATGACTATAAGACCAGAAGAACTAGGTGGTGCCTGGCTACCACTGTCAGTCACTTAGAGGGGGATCTATGTAGGAGATCCTGGATAGAGAGGGAGAAGAATGTGGAACAAAACACAAAATCATTTGAAAAAAAAAGGGGACCAAATTTGCTGGTCTGATAGAGCCTGGTGGAATCACTGAAACTAAGACCCCTAGCTGCCCTTCAGATCTGGAATTGAACCCACACCTGTGGATTCCAGCCAAAGAAAAGACAGGCATAAGAGTTGAACATGTACCTGAGGTAGATACCCTCCTTGGAGAGAACAGTCATGGGAGAAAGAAGACCTGTTTATGCACAGGGAGACAGTTCAGGGGGTAGAAGTGCATGGAGGAATGGACACAGGGAAGAAGTAACTACTGGCAGGAAGTGGAAGGGGAGCTGTTGCATTGGGATAAATTGTAGTCAATGTCATGAGACAACGTGTATATGAACTGCTGTATGGAAAGTGAATTTGCTCTGTAAACTTTCACCCAAATCACAATTAAAAGAAAAAAAAAAAAACCATAAAGAGTGAAAAGATAAGCCCAAACTGGGAAAAGATACTTGCAACCTATGTAGCTGACTAAGAATTAGTATCCAGAATTTATGATTATACAAATTAAAAAGTAAAAGACAACCAGAGCTAAAGACATAAATAATACGTAATTTCAAAAAGGAAGAAACATGATTGACAGGAAACATATGAAAAGATGTTTCTGCTCATAAGTTAAGACCACATGTCTTAGCATTTTATATCCACTAGATAAGCAAATACTGAGAAGTCTAACAGTAGTAATAATGGAAACTGTAAAATTGAATATTTGTATATCATACAGTCTTGCAACTCTGCCCCTATATGTATTCAGTTTTGAACTTTGTACATGTGCACATGTGTACCAGGTGACTTGTATAGGACTTTTCATAGCAACATTTATTCACAACTTAAAGCTGGAAATCAACCCAAAGGTCCATTAACAAAAGAATGGATAAATGTGATGTAGTTATTATTACAACATTATAAACAAATGAACCATGTAATAATGTGGATTAATCTTAGATTATATAGATAACAGATATACAGATGTCATTGAGTCTACTCCAATTTATGCTAACCTTATGTAGAACAGACTGAAACATTGCCTAGTCCTTTGTCATCCATTGCTGTAGCTAATCTGTCTCACTGAAGGTTTCTGTTATTGGTCCTCTACTTCACCAAACATGATGTCCTCCTCTAGTGAGTATTCCTTCTGGATGATGTGTTCAAATCAAGCAAGTAAAATAATGTTCTGTTGTGATCCTAAGATTTTCATTTGCTAACTTTTGGAAGTAGATCACCAGGCCTTTTTTCCTAGTCTGTCTTAGTCTGGAAACTATGCTGAAATCTTCCACCATTAGTGACCCTGATGCTATTTGAAGTACTGGTGGCATAGCTTCCATTATCACAGCAACACACAAGCCATCACAAGACAACAAACTGACAAGTCATGATCTTAAAATATAATGTTGAGTAAAACAAGTTAGGAAGCTACAGGGTAATATTTTTCCCATAAAGCTCATAAACAAATAAAACTATGGAATATATTGTTTAGGGATGTATTTTTTTTATTGTGATTTGGGTGAAGATTTACAGAGCAAATTCACTTTCCGTACAGCAGTTCACATATACTGTCTCTCATGTCATTGACCACAGTTTACCACAATGCAACAGCTCCCCTCCCACTTCCACCCCATAGTTACCTCTTCCCAGTGTCCATCCCTCCATACTGTCCTGCCCCCTGAACTGTCCCCCTGTGCATAAGCAGCCCTTCTTTCTCCCATGATTGTTCTCTCCAAGGCATGTATCTACTTGAGGTAAATGTTTAACTCACATGCCTGTATTTTGTTTGGCTGGAAACCACAGGTGTGGGTTCAATTCCAGACCTGAAGGGCAGCTAGGGGCATAGTCTCAGTGGTTCCAGCAGGCTGTATCAGACCAGCAAACCTGGTCCCTGTTAGGGATGTATTTGTGTGTGTGTGTGTGTAACAAATCTATTTTGAAAAAGTTAAGGAAGTCATAAATACAAAACTCAACTTTTCTCTGCCTCAGATGCCAGGGAACAGGATAGGATAGTAGCATACAAGTAGTTGGAACTACATAATTATTCTAGTTCTTAAATTGGGTAATAGATTTATATGATTTTTGTAATTGTCACAGAATCAAAAATAAAAAGAAACTAGAGTGCTCAAAGTGGTTACATATGTTCTCTACTACTCCTTTTTAGAGAAATATCTATGTGCAGAAGAGTTAACATAAAAAGCCTGAACTGCTGTCCTTGGAAAAGTCTGTTGCTAGATTGGCCTTTAGCTTACATTCAGGAGGATTCCCACCATTTTCCAAACTGATAATACTGGCTTATAGGCCTAAACTATTTGTACTAACAATATGTTGTTATTGTTAGTTGTTGTCAAGTCGATTCCAACTCATGGCAACCCCGTGTGTGCAGCGTAGAACTACGCTCCATAGGGTTTTCAAGGCTATATGTGACCGCTTGGAAGCAGATCTTCTGAGGCACCATTGTAAGGGTTTGTTGCTAGCCTTTTTGATTAGTAGTCCAGTGCATGGGAGCTCTGGTTGTGTAGTGCCTAAGGCATTTGACTGCTAACCAGAAGGCTGGCTGTTCAAACTCACCAGCCACTCCTCAGAAGGAAGATTGGGCAACCCTTGGAAACCCAAGGAGCGGTTGGTATGAGTTGGAATGGACTTGATGGTTGTGAGTTTGGATTTTTTTTGTTTGTTTGTTTAGTCTAGTGTGTAACCATTGTAATAAATATGTGCTTTCCTTCTGTGAGTCTGGGATTTGAGTGGTTTACAGGCAGAGGTGCCTATGTGGCCAAGCACCAGTAAAAACTGTGAGCACTGGGTCTCCAATGTGCTTCTCTGATTGATAGCATTTCACAGGTGTTGTCACAACTTGTTGCTTTGTGACTCTACTGGGAGGTGACACTCAGGAGCTTGTGCCTGGTACCCCTGGACTTTGTTCCATACACCTTTTTCCCTTTGCTGATTGTGCTCTGTCCTTTCATGGTAATAAATCACGGCTGTGAGTACTGCTGTGTGCTGTGTCCTGGGAGTCCTCCTAGTGAAACATTGAAGCCGGTAGTGATCAGGGGGAATCCTGACTCAACTTATAACTTAGAATCATGGGTTTTTGTTATGAGAACACAAGCAGGCTGGCAGCTAAACAGCAAAAGTTTCATGTGTTCTTTCAAGTATACTTGGTGTGATACAACTTGGGTGGATGGGGGGAGGTAAAGTGAGGAGGGGGGCGGTTGCTTGTTGAAAAAGGCAATTCAGGCAAGTATGTATTCTGGAGAAGTTTGCAAGGCAAATAATGGTAAGAGGTGCCTTTTGAATTGCACACTGGTTTTCAGTGTGCCAACAAGGATATTGTGTTAATTGTGTACAAAGAAGCTTTTCCCTCTTTTAATTTGTGTGTATTTGGGTGCAAAGCTCTAAAGTAAAGATTAAGTTGTTTATGGACTTCCTGATTACTTTCCAAGTAGAGGAAGTAATTGTTTTTCAGATGAAATTGTACTACTGAATGTCTTTTTAAGAAATCTTTATCGTTCATGTAATGTTTCTTCCAGAGATGTGTTACATCAGAATTTTGAGAGTTATAAGCCTGAAGTACAAGAGCTGATTTGTGTAGCGGATCGTTTGGGATCACTGATGCAATATGAAACACCTGGTTTCCTGCCAAACAAGAGAATACACAGAGGTATTCTGGAAACTGTCTAGAAATGGAAATATTTCTTCTTATAGCAGCAAGGATTAACAAACTATGTTGTCCTTTTTTTGTGGTAAATTTTATATTGGGTTTACTCACACTCTGCATTTGATCAGAACAGAAATGTATGAATCCTTCACACTGAATTCTGAAAAGAATTCCAGCCTTGTGTTTTTGCTGTTGCTGTAGTATAGCTGTAGAATGTGGATCTTAGATCATTATTAAGTATCAGACAGCAGAGCCAACAGACCTGTAGGAAGGAGGAAGAATTCAAATCTCCACTTGCTTTATTAGGAAGCACAAATGGGAGGAGACCCTTTGGGAGTATTTCTATTGTCTTCTGAACAATAGGACTGTCATAACTGAATAATATCTCAGGTCTTCTTATATTATCAATACTTCTTATTCTGTCTTCATGTAATTATTCTTGAATTATCACTGAGACTCTCTACTGAGGAAAGGTGAAAATCAGTGCCTCTTAGAGTGTACCCATCAGCTCTATTTTCTCTGTATTTCTTGACTTTTAGCTATGGGCTTGGCAGCACTGGAAGTCATGCAGGCTGTACAGCGCACCTGGACCAACTCAAAGGTGCGAATGAATGGGAAAACTCGCCTGATGCAATGGAGAGATATGTTTGACATTGCAGTAAAATGGAGAAGGTAACATTTAAGTGAAAATAAGCTCAATGCCTTATTATTGTACAATAGAGTAAGTCTCCTCTATTTAAAAAATTTTGAAGCTTGTGTTGTTTACTAACCATAGGCCATTTAAATTACATATCCCTCTAAAGTTTGTCAGAAATTGCTAACATCTTTATTCTTTCAAATGCACTCAACTAATGTTTATGAAGTAGGAATTGATTGTAATGTTTCTAAGCACATATCTAAATGAAGTATTTCAGAAAAAGTTGTCTCCTTGAATTTCAATGTACAGGTCCCTTTATCTTTGAAGTGTGCCTGGCTAACCAGTTACAGATTGAAGGAAGCCTCTGATATTAATTTTCAGAAAAACAGTTCTCTTCCAGTATGCTTTTATGGGCTTCTTAATTGGTCCAGTTGGAACATCTGTTCGGAATTTGTTAGTTGTGCATTATATTTTTAGATGTAATGGATTCAGCAGTTGTAGTCTCCTGACTTTTGGAAAGACTTCTACATGTTTTATTTTTTAATGCTTTTGAAAATTTATAGGTTTCATAAAGTCTTCATTTGTAACAAGCTCTATTTTATAGAATTGCTGATCCAGACCAGCCTGTGCTATGGTTAGATCAAATGCCAGCAAGAAGTCTTAGCAGAGGTTTTAATAATCACATCAATTTAATCAGGTATGAACTTTTGGGCATCTTCCCTGTTTTTATGGGAATTTGTTCTAAATAGACAGGTCCTGGAGAAGGTGAGTGAGCCACTGCACTTTATGTTCACTTTTTGATATGGAAATGCATAGTTTAATGCTATACCTACAGAGACCTGCCTGCAGTCTTCAGCCAACCCAACTGCATAAAGAAATACAGGCCATCCTCCTTTCCAAGGTTCATCTCTTGGATGCAGAGCGAACTCGAAAGGCAGACTGCCATGTTGTTGCCTAGGGTATTGTCTTTATGGGTCCTAAAACATCATAGGAGGTGGAGAACATTGCATTTACCATATCTCTTTCTGATAATACTGTGTTACCCAAAGAAGTTTTTTGACAAGTGTATTGTGATAGGGGAAAGGCACTTTCCCCTTAATACAACACATAGGCACAAAGGGCTTGGATAAATAATAATATCTGATTGTTAAGCTCCCTCTAGAGAGAAAAAGAGTAAGTCTAGAGAGAGAATGAGTAAGAGAAAGAAAGAAAGAGTAAGTTAACTTAGGAGTTTTTGTGTTGTCAAGAAAATATGCAAGTTGGGGACATGGTTGAAGTGTTTTTCTCTTTACCCTTCCCTTCTTATGCTTTTTCTTGTTGTTACTGTGTGTGTGTGCCCTGGAGTTGATTGCAACTCATAGCAACACTATAGGCCGGAGCAGAACTGCCCTATAGGTTGTCCAAGGCTGTAAATCACTACAGAAGCAGAATGCCTTATCTTTGTCCTGCAGAGCAGCTGGTGGGTTTTGAACTGCCATCATTTAGGTTAACAGCCAAATGCATTAATCAGTGTACCACAAGGGTTTCTTTTCATGTGCTTCCAAAGAAACCAAGCCAAACCTACTGCCATCGAGTCAATTCTGACTCAGAGCGATCCCCACTGGATTCCTTAGGTGGTAAATCTTTACTAGATTGCCCAGTCTTGCTTCCGTGGAGTGGCTGGTGGGTTTGAACCACCAGCCTTCTGGTTAGCAGTCAGATACCTTAGGCACAGAGCTCCTTTTTCATGTGCTTGTTGTTGTTATGTGCTTAGCCACCCCAAAGTAAATGATAAACAAATATTGAGGAATATCATTCTGAAGGAGACCCATGCTATTAACCTATGCTTCGATTAATTTAATTTCAGATAAAATTTACAAATGTGATAGTGTGTCACATCTAAAATGTTTATAGTTCCAGGAAACTGAATCAAGGAAATACTTTATACAACTTTGACATTTAAGTTTTTCTTTAAATTGTAATGTGTGTATATATATATACATACATATATATATGTAACAAAACATTTGCTATTTCAATACTTTTTACATATACAAAATTCAGTGACATTTATTAGGTTCATCATGTTGTTCAGCCATCACCACTATTTAAGTTTGGTTCTTAATAGAAATGTTATTTGTAGTTTTATTTTTTTAATTTCTGGAAAATTAATATTTTTCTCTCTGTGACTGTATATATTCCTATTTCTTATGGAATAATTTGTGACATTTATGGATAGCTTTAATTGACAGCCACTGTGTGTCAGTCAGAAACCCTGGTGGCACAGTGGTTATATGCTTAGCTGGTAATCAATTGTAAGGTGGCCAGTTCAAATCCACCAGCCTCTCTGTGAATGAAAGATATGGCAGTCTGCTTCTGCATAGATTACAGAGTTGGAAACTCTATGGGACAGTTCTATTCTGTCTTATAGGGTTACTATGAGTTGGAATTGACTCAACAGCAACAAGTTTGTTTTTCTGTGTGTGTCAGTCAGTGTATTGTGTTTCATGATGATAACATAGAAGTTGAACACAGTCTCTGACTTTAAACAGTTCACAGTATAGAGAAGAAGCAGACAGGTGTACAGCTACTTACTATGTAGTGTGCTATTGGGCATATGACAGGACACATGAGAACACAGAGAAGGGCTAACTAATCCAGCCATCAGGTGAGACTAGAACTGTTTTAAAGGATAGAAAGCAGAAAGAGAGGTAGGATGGTTGAACATGGACCCACAAGTGAATTAAGCTTGGTCAGGAAGCTATAACTAATTCATTATTTCTGGCGATTAGTTTGCAGTTAAAGAAGTATCAGAAATTGAGGCCAGAGAGCTAGGCAGAGGCCAGAATATAAATTACTTTATATTCAGTGGTAAGGAATTGTTTTCCCTGAAGATGATGGAGAGCTGTTCAAGGGTTGTAAACAGAGAAAGGAAGTGAACAGACTTGCACATTGGTAGTATCACTTTGTCAGTAGGAGGAGAGAATAGTGGTCTTAGAGGCAAGGAACATGATTAGAAAGTTGCATTAATTCAGGTGAACAAGTGAAAATATCTTAAAAAAATATGTGGCACTGTGTGGAAGGGGAAGGTGTGGATGTTTAGAAGGTAGACTGAGTAACACTGGTGACCAGCAAGCATGGAATTACAGGAAGAGTGTCAGATTAGTGACTCAGGTACAAGGCTGTCTCATCAGGCTAAATAACAACAGGACAAAAAGTAAGTGAGCATGTTTAGGGGTGGAGTTGGGTGAGGTGTGGTGTGGGAGAGTAAATTCCCAATTTGATGATTATGAACTTGAGGCTTGAAATGCTTGCTGTCTGGTGAGCAGCTGGATGTGACTCATCAGCATACTGGTAGTCAATGAAGTTCCAGAAAAGAGTGCCAGGAGAGAGTACAGTTTAAAAAAAGGGGGGCAGGGACAGATATGTGAAGAAAATAATATTTTGGGTGAATAGAGGAAGTGGAGATTGCTAATTAAGCTAAAGAACAAGAAGGAATATTAGCAAGTAACCATATCAGGAGACTCCTGGAGGAGGAGAAAGGTACATTGCCTAAAAAGTAAAGAAATAGATAAAAGGAAATTGACACACAAGGCTGAACCTCATTTAAGCACATGAGGATCTTTTTCCCTGTTTTGGCATATGTGGAGCCTGCATGGTACAGGCAGCCACTTGGTCCCTTCCGTCCAGGATAGCTCCAAGATCTGACATGCAGCCCTGCTCACACAGAACCTTACAGACCTTGAACACATAAATTTCCCAAATGTTTTTGCAATGTTCTCATCACCACTCTTACTCTTGTATCATTTTTAAAAAAATAACTTGAAATTGGATCTTATTTTGAACATACTCCTTTGTAAAAGAGATTCTTAATTTTAGTGTTTATTTTTTCTTACAGGGGTCAAGTGATTAACATGAGATACCTGGAATATTTTGAGAAAATACTTCATTTTATTAAAGATAGAATTCTTGTTTATCATGGGTAATTCTTCAGTTTTCTTTTTCATAGTAATTACTTGGTTTCATGTGTTTTTCCATTTGTTTACCTTGAAAACTAAGCTCATTGACAGACTAAACAAAATATATCTGACGTCTATGTAATGTTTAGAATCAAAAAGCCTTTCATAATCACTTATTCATCTTCTTTTTAATAGTTTCATGAAATCCATGGATCTCGACTGAGTATTTTTAACTTTATAAAAAGTAGTGTGTGTTTTCTAGTCTTTCCTCTACAAAGCAAGATGTTCCTTTAAATTTACCTGTTACAGGTTACTACCTTAATATTCAGTCTTTCTGCACTGAAAAGCAGTATAGTATAGATTGAACAGTGAGCAGAGCACTAGAGAAAAAAGAATTTGAATGGTTAGTTATCACCAAATAAATATAAAATTGGTTTAAACACCCAGCAGGATATTTCCATTTGGGCAACTTTAGGAGAAAAAAAAAAAAAACGCTTTCACTTCTAACTTCATAAGTAGTCAAAGCTGTATAACCAGACCCAAACCAAGTATTTCTGTATGCGCAAACACTGGCTGTCAATTCATTCTGCTTTTCCTTATTTTCACCTTCTAGATGGTCTGCTGTTTATTTCCTTAATTCTCATCTGTAGCTCCAGAATCATTAAGATTAAGCCATTCCATGATTTAGAAACTTAAATTGTGCTCCATCGTTTTGAATATTGAGCTACTCATAATTAAGGACAATTCGTTTAAATAAAAAAAATAATAGCATAACCATTTCTATATTAATCTCAATTGCCATCTCTCTCTCTCTCTTCTTTTTAGAGCTAATAATCCTAAAGGATTGTTGGAAGTTAGAGAAGCTCTGGAAAAGGTACACAAAGTAGAAGACCTTCTTCCAATTATGAAGGTAAATCTATCAAAATTTCAGTAGGTGTTTTTTTTGGGGGTGTGGGGTGGGATATAGTATTTTTTAAAAAGAACTCCTAACTCCTAATTGTTAAATGCATGTTTATTAATATTGTGTAGTCTGTGTTTTAAAATGCATAAAATACATACTGTCTGAAAACACTAATAGGAATATACTACGAAAAGTAATAAAAAAAATGAAACACGGCATCAGACTCAGAGGAACTAATCTGTGAGGAAGTAGTTAATGGAGGAAACAGAAGACATCTTTAGATATATACAGTTGAAAATCCCTTGGTGGCACACGTGGTTTGTGCTTGGCTACTAACCAAAAGATTGGTGGTTTAAATCCACCCAGCCGTGCCTCAGAAGAAAGATCTGGTGATCTTTGTCCATAAGACTTCCAGCCATTGTGGGGAGAAATGAATATATATAATTGACTTCTGCTTCTGTCCACCATGGTATAACTGATACTCAACATAACAGTTATAAATCTGGGTAATATACTAGGCAGCTGTCTTTAAACATTGGATAATCACAAGACCATATCAAGCTCTCTGTTAAAATGATTCAAGGATGTACTTTCACAAAATGAATTCAAAGAAGAAGAAAATATGAGGTATCAGAAATAGTGGTGAACAAAGAAATCAAGAAAATCAATTGTTAATGCATAATGTTAAAAAATAGACACATAAGCTGGAATTAAATGCTAGATAATTTCAACATTAGAAATTGAGGAAAATGGAGAAAGTAAGTAAAAATGTATTATAGTGCCTAAGGCATTTGACTGCCCAGAAGGCTGGTGGTTCAAATCCATCAGCCACTCCTCGGAAGGAAGACTGGGCAATCTACTTCCATAGAGATACTGCCTCAGAAACCAATGGAGGGGTCGCTATGAGTCAAATCTGACTCAAGGGCAGTGAGTTTTTAATATATTTTGTCAGTGAGAGTATAATTACTGACTAACCCACCACATTGATGGAAAAAATGGAAACACCGAAATTTAAAGGTAAATACTGGAAAAATACCAAATCTCTATGAGTTAAGAAAATGGAATAATGAAAACAAAATCATTTCCAATCAGAGGCTTACGCAAAGAGGAGAAAGACAGTAAGGTCAATAGGAAATGTAATGCCAATGGCAAGCCTCAATATCATAATTAACCAAAGGAAACCAAATGTAGTGCCATTGAGTTGGACTTGACTCATAGCGACCCTTCAGGTTTCTGAGGCAGTATCACTATGGAAGTAGATTGCCCAATTGTCCTTCTGAGGAGTGGCTGGTGGGTTTGAACTGCTAGCCTTCTGGTTAGCAGTCAAATGCCTTAGGCACTATGCCACCGGAGCTCCATAATAAGCAACCCCTTATTTAAAGACTGAGGATCTCAAATTTGGTTTTTAAAAGTCCAGCCATCCACTGTCTACAAGAGACACCTGCAACAAAATAATATTTAAAGAGTTAAAGGAGGAAAAGTATACCAGTCACATGCTAATGAGAAGAAAAGTAGGAATGGCAATATCAATGTCAGAATAGTTTCAATTTAAGGTAAAGGGCACTACCAAACCAAAGCAAATGCACTGCCATCAAGTTGGACCCGACTCATAGCATGACCCCTCCCTGGGTTTCCGAGGCAGTATTACTACAGAAGTAGATTGCTCAACCTTCCTTCTGAGGAGTGGCTGGTGGACCCTACAGGGGAGAAAAATTATATGGATTTAAAGTATAATCCATTGAAAAGTTGTAACTTTATGAACTTTTTATCCACCTGAGAATATAACTACTCAAAGGCAGGCAGATTTGCTTTTCCAAGTAACAGTTTGAACTTTATTATAAAACTTGAGTAAATTATTTTTGTAGTTTTACAACTTTCTGGTCACTAATTGACTATTGTTATCCAACATTTCACATTTACAACAATAGTAAAAAATATATAGTATCTGACTATTTTGCACATTAATATTTGTCTGGCAGTAACAAATGTCAAGGTGCAAGTAGAGAATAAGCTGGCTGTGATGGTTCAGGTTATGTGTCATTGGTTGGGCCATGATTTTGGTTGGTTTGGCAGTTATATAATGATGTAAGTTGGCAATTATGCAATAATGTGATTTGGCAGTTCTGTGATGATAGCCTCCATTTTGTGATCTGATGTGGTCCTCCATTATCATGTAATGCCAAATTTCGTCTGACAACCTGGTCTTTGGAACCTAACCATGCCAATAAGTGAGGAGTAAGTGTAGTAGAAATGTAGTAGATAAGGTTGATTTATACCAAATAAAATGTAAGAAGTTTATATGATAGCATATACATTTCTAAAGAGAACCAGTATGCCATTGCACTGAACAGAGCACTGCACTAAGCATCTATAAGGTAGCATCTGCATCTGCTTCTCTAAACTTGGACAAGCCATTGACCAATTCCAGTTTCTCATCTGCTAAAGAGCAGTGGTTCTTGCCAGACCTACCTCAGAGGTTATTATGAAGGTCTGATGAACTAGTGTGCAGTGTTTCTTAACCTTCTCAAAACCACTGTATTAAATCATCAAATGTGCTCAAAAGCCTGTTTTACTACACTAGAATGAAATTCTTAAGGAGTATCACATCCCTACTCAAAAAATACCCCCCCTAAAAAAACTGCTATAAAGTAATTATAAAAAGCCAGTAGTTTAGGATGTAATAATGTGTATTCCAGTATATCAACATGCCTTTGTTAGAATCATAAAGTAACCATTTGCTTGTCCCTGTATGTTAAGGTGTGGTAAATGGGACAGCCATATATATGTGTATCGTATTGGTGACTCAGGTATCAGAAGCTACCTTGTAGTTGGTGACATCAGTTTCTGAAATGGTGAATAACTCTTGGTACAAAGCTCCAAACTATGTATAATATAATCTTCCCTCAGTTTACATGCTGTTTGTGTCCTTGGAAAATTCATTATGTATTAAAACTATGTAAAAAAATTCTTAGTGTGTAAAATGTAAAGTGAAACTGGGCTGAGACCTAGGTAAACAGGCTCTCCATCTCCACAAATGTTTTGTGGACATGGAGAGCCATGTGTACTATGTGGCTATTCCTTGTATTGTGAGGCCTCTAGGAGTCTTAGCTCCTACCTGCCAAAGTGCAGGGATCCCCACCCACTTGATCACTAACAGCCAAAATGCTCCCCTAAATTCCCAAAGTGCTCAGCAGAGGGCAGAATGGCTTTGCCAAGGCCCCTGCAATGCACTATAGAGAAAAAACTAGAATGTGTCTCATTGTTTTTAAACTGCTTTTCTGTGGGTATGTTAGGCATTTAAATGGCATTAGGCAGAATAAAAAATAACCTTAAAGAGATTTTAACTTTTTATATGTCTTATTTAAAAGGAAAACCAAAAATAGTATACAAGACTGGTCATTTAGAGCAAAACTTGAGAGAAGATGGATATACTGTCATGCCCTTGTTAGTATGAAGTCTGTGATGGTTTGACCATGTTGTCTAAAAGATGGAAGGAGTGACATTGCCATATCTACATTTTACTAGCTTTAACCTAGGATTACAAATATATTGGAATTTTAGAAGGCATACTTAGATGTATACAAAACAAAATATTTTTGTGTTTAAAGTGCTTTATAAAGTATGACACTACAACAGCTTCTACTGAAAATGATGGGAAACTAATATTTTTTTCCTTCTAAATTTTGTTTATGTTGTTATTGAGAATACACATAGCAAAACATTCATCAATTCAATAGTTTCTACATATACCATTTAATGACATTAATTACATTTTCAAGTTGTGCAGCCATTCTCACTTTCCTTTTCTGAGTAGTTCATCCCTCATTAACTCAATGTCCCCTAAGATTCCTATCTTTGGGGAGCTCTGGTGGTGTAGTGCCTAAGGCATTTGACTGTTAACCAGAAGGCTGCCAATTCAAACCCACCAGCCACTCCTCGGAAGGAAGGCTGAGCAATCTACTTTGTAGAGATACCGCCTCAGAAACCCAAGGAGGGGTCGCTATGAGTCAGTGAGTTTGGTTTTTTTTTTTGTTTGTTTGGTTCCCAATTTGATCCCATATAGATAGATTTTAAAAGAGCACCATGCTCAAAGGATATCTTTTTTTTTTTTTTTAACTCCAAAAACCAAAACCAAACTCACTGCTGTTGAGTCGGTTCTGACTCATAGCGACCCCTCCTTGGGTTTCCGAGGCAGTATCTTTATAGAAGTAGATTGCCCAATCTTACTTCTGAGAAGTGGCTGATGGGTTTGAAGCACCAGCCTTCTGGTTAGCAGTGAAATGCCTTAGGCACTATGCTACTAGCGTTCCCTAGTTAAGCTTAACTATTTTGTTGGTTATAAGATGACTTTAGATGATATTTTTGGTTTAAAGTTTAAAGATTATCCAGGGCAATATTTTCAGAGACTCATCCACCTTCTATGGCTCCAGAAAGTCTAGAGTCCATGAGAGTTTGAAATTGTATTCTGCATTTTCTCCTTTTGATCAGGATTTTCTGTGGAATCTTTGATAAAAATGTTCAGTAACCTGGTACCATCCAGTTCTTCTGTTCTCATTGTAAAAGAGACAGTTGTTCGTGAAGGTAATTAACCACAAATTCCATATCCTCCTCCTATTTCTGACTCTTCTTCCTCTGTTGCTCCAGGTGAATAGAGACCACTTGTGCCTTAGACAGCCACTTGCAAGCTTTTAAGACCCCAAGCACTAAGTAGTGAAGTAGGAGGTAGAATAGAAGCGCTAAATACATTATTAGGCCAATTAACTGGAATTTTCCATGAAACCATGACATCTAAACCAAGGAACCAAATCCCATGAGGTTTTTGGTTATATATAAGCAGCCTCAGCAGCTACTCTTATTTTTGTCATTGTTGTAAATACATCTATCCCACAACTTTTGCCAATTTAGCTTTTTATGAGTGTACAGCTTATTAACAGCATTTAAAATAATCATCTGTGCAAACCTATCCTAATTCAGTGTGATTTTTTTCCATCACCATAAATCGAAACCTG